ATTATAGATTTTTTTCAAAATGCAATCCCGATGCAACTCCACAGATTGATATCAATCGTCTATATGAAATTAAGCGAAGCCTTAGGATATTTGAGTCTTTAGATGTGATATTTTAGTTTAATTCTCCATTCCTTTCTTCTTTCCCATTTTCTTATCATGAAAGAATTAAAAAAATTCCCATATTTTTAATATATCATAAAAGGAGAGTAGGATGATTCAGTGGATTGTTATTCAGTTCGATGCTGAGGTTCTACCTCCTGCAGGAATAAACCTGTCGAAAAATCTAAGTGAAGCTGACGATTCACCAGTACTTCTACCGCCAAGGAGTACATTTGTCTAGTGCGATAAGCCAATAAAGCGAATCAGGCTCTTCAAAAAAAATTGTTTCATAAAACCAAAAAAAACGAAATTCATATCCATTATTTTCATTATCACTGTCACAAATGAAATAACTTTTTATAATAATATTAATATTGTAATATTAATTAATCATGCATAATATTATTATAATATATAATATTGATCAATTTTATTTTGTAAATTAGTCGAAATGATAGGAATTAAAAGATTTTTAGTTAACAACGAACGAAATTTATAAATGATTGATTTATATATATATCCATTGATAAACGGAGCAACATCAGTGATCTCTAACCAGAAGAGGAGGATTTCTAGGAACAGCTAAGGATAATGCGCAGAACTTTCAATCCCCACTGGTGGGTGATTCGAGATAATCCTCACCAACCACAAGAGATGAGAAAAAATTTTTTTAAAATATATTTTATAATATAATTTTGAACATAATTCTGTGAAAATTTTTATTGAAATTTTTTAAAAGTGTATATTATGAATCATAAATAATTCATGGTTCTTCCTTTCTTGTTCTAAAAGCCTTATGGCCCCTTTCATTAACTTTTGGATCAAACAAAGCCAAGTTTGCCGCTGAACCACTTGCAATAAAAATAATATAGTAAGGCAAATCGCCGGATTTTATAAAAATAGATTTATTTCTATTAAGAATAGAACCGAAGTGTCGGCGCCCCGGAAGAAGAACGAAAAATGTCTGAACCGTTCATACGCGTATATATTACTAATAAATTCACCATATTTCGAAAATATTTCAATAAATTTTTTCTCCATTTCATAAAAAAATTTTGTGGTTTTCTTGCCAATTTTTTTCAAATTTTCTTTCGAAAAATGCGAAAAAAATCAGTTTAAATCAGTTTTTTTATTTTCATTATTGCTTAATAATTCAAAAAATTTTGTTTGAAATCTTAATTTTCCTTTAAATTGTTTCAACAATTTTGCATCCATAAAAGAGAAATTTGAAAAAAATAAAATACAGCAAACATTCGGATTTTAGTTTTAGTAATTGATTTACTCCTAACAAAAAGATTGGAATTCATGCTGTCAACCGACATAACACGCAAGTCGACATGTGATGCATGTCGATCAAATTTTCGATTTCTTTTCTTTTTTTTCAAATTTTCTCTCGAAAAATGCGGAAAAAATCAGTTTAAATCAGCTTTTTTATTTTCATTATTGCTTAACAATTCAAAAAATTTTTATCAACGAAAATAGATAGATATATTATCAAAAAAAAACTGTAAATGCGCTCACCATTTCCGCCAGTAAGGTACTTTTTGTTGTCGGACAAGAAAAGAATTTCACCTAAGAACCATTTGTGAAGAAAGAGCAGGCAGGTCCATTTTCTGAAAAACAAGTTTGACCCCGTTGAGCTAACCGCATTAACGAATTTACGAAATGATTGCAACAATCCAATGAGCCAGCCACTCTAACTCGGATCTTTACCTAATCGAACGAATCGAATATTTATTACTATTAATGATAATATTATTACTAATAAATCTTTTATTTATGCTCATTCATCTTTCATTATTAGGAGTTGTCATTTGTTATTACTATTATATCATTGTAGTTATTATCATTATAGTTATCATTATTATCATAATTATTGTTGCTATTATTATTATTTATATTATTATTATTAATATCATCATTTATTTTATTATGTGATTATTTGAAAATTTTGCCTTAATAAAGAAAGTGTTTGCATTATCATTATCGCCTAGGGAATCGACAGCAACGAACCTATCCCTGAAAAATCTAGGTGATATTTCTCTATTAAAGTGGCTCTTTCGTAAAATTATTAAACTTATTCTATGAAAAGACAAGTTAACCGATAATGTTTAGCAAAATCATAAAATCCCATCTGAATTAAATTTTATTTTTCAAGCGTCTATAAAATAGACTAATAAATTAAAGCCGTTCAGGAAGCATTTTCTACATACTTTCTTATTTTTAAAGTTTTTATTTTATTCAATTTTTTGAATTACGAATAATATTTAAAAATCTTATGATATTGTTTTCGGAATTTCGTTCTATGATCCACTAATGCTTTTTTTCAGAGAATTTTTCAGAGAAAATTTTGCAATAATTTTATTTTTTTTTCGAATGAGAAAGTAGTATTTTATTTATTTTCCGAAATACTTTCAAATGCAAAATATTTTTAAGAATTCGAATTTAAAATTTTTTTGTAATGAAATATTGAAAATATTTTTGTATAATATAAAAAAATTTTCGTTAAGATTTTAGAAAAGATTATCCATTTTATATACTCATTTGTTATAGAAAAAATATTTATTCATTTATAAATATTTATTTTTATCGATTTTAATAAATTTTTGCAAAAAATCAAAAAAAATTATTGAAACGAACTGTTATTATATTAAATGACAAAATTTTTAATTTTTTTAAAATTTGCATATTTTGCATATTTTGCTTTTTGCATATTTTAAAGAAAATTCTCTTAAATATTTCAAGTTTTTATTATTATTTTATTTTATTACATTTATTTTATTGAAATTCGTTTTAAGCTTGTTATTTCAATGTATTTTTTTAAAAAATAAAAATAAGAATATTTTCATCAAAAAAAATTTTAAAATCAATGACTTTCATGTATGGTTAGAATTTTTTGCTACTGGCTCACCTAGTTAAAGATTTAGCAAATCGCGAGTACCATACGGTCTTCATTTATAAATTTTCGATTTTTCATCATTTCTAAACTTTAATTTTAAAGAAAATTAAATTGTTAAATATTATTTTAAATATTTTAAATATTTCAAGCTTTAAGATTTTTTTATTAAAATTAAACTAATAATAAAAACTTGAAATAATACTTATTAAATTATATTTATGTATTTATTTAAAATTATTCAATTTAAATCTTTTCTAAGTTTAGAAAGAAGGATTATCTTTCGGATTTTCAATTGTTAATGGTTTCTAAACATTTGCATAAAATAGATGAATAAATATATATATTATTTATTCCATAATATTCATGCAAGTGAGCTTATCCAATATCCATGTAAGTAAGTTTGCCCAATGCCAATGGAAGTAAGATTGCCCGATATCTTTGCAAGCTTTCTCGATATCGTTGTAAAGCTTCCGTTTTCTTTATCCATCACATTGTAACGAACCATCATTTTTTGCATTTTCATTTTTTTTCTTGCAAAATATAATGAAAATATTTCTTCTGTTTTTTATTTTTTCGATTTTTTAAAATTCTATTTTGCATTTATTTGTTTGTCAGGCAAAGATCCATATTGAATAGCTAAATTAATAGCAAAAACAAATATTAAATAATCAAATATAAATAATTTTGGGACTCAAAATTTGAGCTGAAAATTTATATCGAATTTGGTTGGTATTTTCCATTTCTAAAATTTGAGCACAGTTTGTTAGCCATCCGAATTTTATTAAGAATTTTATTATTTTATGAATAATCAATCACTCGACGAGAGAAATAGAGTTGGCAGCACCATCGCATTGCACTCCTACCGGTAGTGGAACCTCGGCATCCGCGATCCGAAATGATAATGATAATGATAACCTACAGAGCCAATCTACTCGTCTCATCTTCCCGCAAATTCAATATATTTAATATTCGTTTAAAAGTGGAGGTGGTGAAGAAATCTTAACTACGAATAGCTGTTCGGATTTTGCTCTTAATAAAAGTTTAGTCTTGAGAAAGCTAATTGGTACTTCTTATGATCAATTGAAGAAAATTAATATACGATTAAAAAGCCCAATTTCATTCGTAATTTCCTTTCGTAATTATAAATTTTAGGTAGTTTAAACTTACTAAATATAATCTTCTGAATGCCATTTCCAAATTTAAATTTTTATAAAAATTATGATTAGATTAAATATTATTTATTTTTTAATTTTACTTATTTTTTTCCAATTGAATATCATTTAATATTTAATATTTTATATGGAAATATAATCTACTTGCTAGGTGGATACTGCTCAGTGCTGTTGGTTAGATTCGCTACCTTAACTTGTCGGCCGAGACAAATTTTGCTAAGATTCAGCTGGCGAAAGCAGTACAGATGAATCGCCAGGGTTTTTGAAAGACAGGTGGATTTAATTCTGTCGTGGGTGAAACCCAAGTTTCGATGCCTTAAAATGAAAGCAGCAACTTTTTAAGTCGTGCTATCCCTAAATTATAATATTTTAAAATAATTAATACCAATTATTAAAACTAATTAATTTTAAAAATTTCAAAGATTTTATAAACATTATCAAAAATTTTTTATCATTTAAAAGAAATATCTGAAACTTATTCCATTTAAATTTTATTTTAATAATTTTTAATCTAATAATTTAAATAGAATTTAAACAAATTTTTTATTCAAACGAAAGAAAAAAATTTTTGTTGATGAGGCAAAATTTAAATCGAAAAATTTGTTGTTATTTAATAGAAAAATCGAAGAATGGTACTTGAAAATTTATCGATTGCTGTTATTATTTATAATAGAAATTAAAGTAAAAAAATATAATAATTAAAAATTCTAAAAAAAAGATACTTTTAAAAACTTTTTAAAGTTTAAAGATCTTTTTAAAAGTTTTCTTTTCAAAATTTTTATCGATGGAAAATTAACAGGAAAAAATTTTTTTATTTAGATTTTTTTTTTTCAGACAGGAAATGATATGATGACAAGAGCGGAGGAAGCGGAAACATCGTCAGCACCAAGACTAACACCAACAGGAAGAACAACACAAGCACGACCAACATCGTCATTGCCATCACCAGCAGGAGGAACAGATGCACGAGGAGCCTTAACAACACGTCGTAAACAATGGAAACAAAGAAATTGGACTAGCACAACGATTTCCGAATGGTTAGTTCCCCTCTCATCGTGTTGATGATATTTCAATAATAATAAAAATTTTTGCGATGGTCTAATTTTGATAAGGGCGTGGCAAAAAATTCTATCATTCATGTAATGCAACCACCCAGCCAATGAACCAACCAACCAAATAACGAACCAATCAACCAACTAACTCAACCAAATGAACCAACCACAAACCAAAATGATTTTAGTTTAGTTGATCGGTCGCGTTTATTTGTATTATTAGTGAAAGGTACAGATAAGTCGTAATTACCATTCATCTCTACTATTATATTTGTTTTTTTCCTTATCAGCTGTATTAATCAATGTGGTGATAATCAGTGATTGAAAAATTTTTTCTCTTTTTCAATCATTTATTTGAAACTATTTCTCTCTGATTATTTGACTTAAAAAAAACAAAAAGCTCAAAATCAAAGTGAAATTGGCCTAGAAAAAAAAAAGAGGTGATAAGATAATGACCGCTATACGACGACATACTGTTTGGTTTGTACCAGGACGCAGGTGAGGAACCATATTTAAGCATTAACAACTATTATTATTTATATATATATTTATAAAATATAATATAAAGTAAGAGTGAATATATGAGAAAGAGAGAGAGAAGTAGAATAAAAGTTAGATTAAGCGTTTAGATTGTGACTCGAAAAAAAAAGGACGGAGGAGAGTCGGTCGTTGTCGTTGTCGTCGGCCGGCGGGCGCTTTAGCTAGCTCTCTTTCCCGTTTGTTGCTTCATCACAATTCATCATTATCACCATCATCATCATCAGCATCATCCTCATCAATTCCACTTCTTATTCCTTCGTCATCTCTTTTATTTAGCTTTTTTTTCATTACAACTCCCGCTATTGATAATAATAGTGATAAGAATGATAAGGATGATAATGATAAAGGAGAAGAATACTATAAAAAAATAAGTAAAAGAATATAAAGAAAGGCAATTATGACAAAGAAACGTCCATCATTTGCCTCACTAAAACGTGATATAAATTTACCGCAATTTTTTCGACAACGACCCACCGATTTCAGTACGACAGCTAATCATCCTCAGTCACATCTCTTAATTACCGCACAGCCGCGGCGTGAATCTTTCCTCTACCGGCCTTCCATTGAGGAACGCGAGCATAATATCATCCATCCACCTTGTCGTTCCGTGTCTCGTGCGTCGTCGAGTGCATCCACTGAGCATCAGTAAGATTACTCATTTTTTCTCCTTTTTTTATTTTTTCATTTATTTTTTGCTATTCATTCACGACCATTACTCGATGCACAGAAATTCCTCTATTTTTTTTCATCTTTTTATGCATGTCGTGTGTGCATAATTATGTGCATATATGTGTGCATATATGTGTGCATATGTGTGTGCAATTATGTGTGCATATTATTTGTGCATGTTATGTGTGCATGTTATGTGTGAATTTGTGCAAATATGTATGTATGCATGTACATATATATGTATTTATGGCAAATAAATATTTATAAATCTATAAATTTATAGATTTATAAATATTTGTCTTTACTTTTAAGACAGTCCATTAAATAAACCATCTAATTTTGCAGTTTTGAATTTAACTTTATTTACATTGCAAATTTATAGATTTTTATTATTATTATTATTATTATTATTATTTGTTGATTAGCTTTATTTTATTTATGTGCTGTAAATGTGTATATGCATGTATAACCGCGTATATACATATGTATTCGCGTATGTGCATGTATAACCGCGTATATTCATGTGTATTCGCGTATGTGCATGTATAACCGCGTATATTCATGTGTATTCGCGTATGTGCATGTATAACCGCGTATATTCATGTGTATTCGCGTATGTGCATGTATTGTATAATTCGATAGAAATTTATAGGAGAATTCCGTATTAATAATTTTTATTTTTTGAAAGTAATAATGAAATCTTTCTTACAAATTCGTTATTAAATATTTTATTAAAATCGATAGAGAACTTTATGAATGAAATGAAAATCGGCATTTTTATGGATTTTATGTTTCTTTTTTTTTTATTTTCAGTTTTTAAAAAGAAAAATTTAATATATAAATTCTAACAAATTTTCTTTTCATTTTCTTTTTTTTGACTGCATTCAACATTTCTTTCATTTGATTTTCATTTTATTAAATTAATTTCAAATAATTGATTTCCTTTTTTCCGGTAAAAATTTAAAAGATACAATTATTATTTTAAAATAACCAATTTTATAAATTTTATTTAGGCGAATTTTTTTAATTTTTCCAAGAAAACAATAAAAATTAACGATTCATTAAAATTTTCGATAGAAATTTGCAATAGAAATATTTTCAAATAAAATTTTTCTCTTTCTTCTTTTTTAATTTTCGTTTTTTTTAAGTTTTATTTTCTTTAAATTTTGGTTTTTTGCAAATTTTATTTATTTAAAATTTTATTGAGAAAAAAGTCGAATAATCGTTAAATAAAAAAATTTTCTAAATTTAACTTTTCATTAAACGATTATCGAATTTTTCACTATTTATTTACTTATTTCACTTTCATTTAATTATTATTTATTATTTTTATTATTTTTAAATTTCGAAACGACGATTGCTTTGCTAATTGTCGGCCGTTTTGTGTTGTTTACGTTATGTTTCTTTTTTTTCCTCTCTCGTTGATTAACCTACTTTTTGTTTTCGCATTCGTTTATCGCCATTTAAAATTGAATTTAGGCTCGAATCGATTGTTGCGAAACAATTGCGTTGCACTGCACATCGCAGTGCAATGCAGTGCATTACAAATTCAATTAAAATAATGTTCTTTAATCGTTTACAATAACTGCATCGTTCAAGTGCATCATGTGTAACCGCAAATTTTAATTTATTAGAAAAATGATAATAGGCAATGATAAGAAATGATAATAATATCGGTTGTTTTTTATAAAAGGCTTTATTTTCGTTTATTTCTCTTATCATCATTTTCTAAAATATTCTTTTTTCTTCTTTCTAACAGCTCTCACCATTACTGATTGGGCTGCTTCGACTGGCCGAAATGTTTCGTTCATCGGAAATGTTTTTCAAAAAAATTTTCTTTTAATCTATTAAAAATTTCTATATATGCGACATAATGGAAAAAATTGGAAAAAAAATAAAATTTTTTTCTCTCAAAAAAAGTAAGTAAACAAAAATAATTGCTTAGAATGTGCTATTTCTCGTTAGAGATCGCCATAGTAAGGCGGTGAATGGAGTTCTCCGAAAAGCACAGCGCACCGCAAGCTATCATTCGCATGAGGTGCTCGTCGAGCGGTCTTTCCGTCATCAGAATGGGAAGCGTTATTGAGAAGGCGAATAAAACAGTTTCTCTTCCGGAGAAGACGGTCATCGAGCTAAAACCATCAACTCGTTTATCGAGCGTCCTTTACGGTTTGATAAGATAAGTAATTAGCAGTATAGGATGGGTGGATTTTGCACGGCTAAACGTCTATGCGTATGTCGCCAGTGTCGTATGCGACATATGTGCTGAGGTGACTCGCGCCAACATCACTGATCGAGAATCATGCATGCACAATGTTTGAATTGAAATTAATATTAAATAAGAAATAAAAACTTTTTTTTTAAAATTTTCCCAAATTTTAATATTTTTTATAATAATTTTTGAGATTTCCATGCGAAAATTCTTTTTTTTCTTTTTCATATTCATCGTAAACTAATTATTGATTTTGAGGTTCGTTTTATTGCACTTTTTTTTTTTTCTTTACGTGCATTTCGTATATCAGAATTGGTTTTTTCTAGGATCGTAGAGATAGGATAACCGAGTAGATGGATATTGGTTCAGATAATTGCGTTCAGTGGGGGGGGGGGGGGGGGGGGAGGGGGGGGGGGGG